CCAACTCGGATAAATGGGTTAAACAACCCAAAAGACGTGTGTGTTAATAAGCAGGAAAACAAAAGAAAAGAAAGGCCAAACAAGAACGACTCGATGATGGGGTAGTGTGTCCCCAATGGAGTCACCAAGGTTGTTAGGTGCCATGATTTAGCCCCCAAGTCGGGTTGACCAGGTGGCGTGATTCTGGGTTTGAGATGGACCAAGGACCTGAGACCGCGATCTTGTGAACTGTGTGAAGAAGACACGGGCAGGAATACCAACCGATGAGAGAGGAATTAGGTTCACAACGTGGGACTCATTGTGATGACCCAGACTTTTCTCGGCCAGTTAGCGCGCATGGAGGGATAAAGAAGGAAGAAGTACAAGAACCGGCTATGTTGTGTGTAGTACAGGCTGGGAAAAGGAAGAAGTACCAACACCGGTTGTGCTGTGTGCAGCGCTGGTTGTGAAGAGGAAGAAGTACCAGTGTCGGCTGTGTTGTGTGCAGCGTTGGATGTGAACAGGAAGAAGTACCAGCAATGGTTGTGTTGTGTGCAGTGCCAACTGTGAAGAGGAAGAAGTACCAGCACCGGTTGTGTTGTGTGCAGCACCGGCTGTGTTGTGTGTAGTACAGGCTATGAAGAGGAAGAAGTACCAGCCCTGACTATATTGTGTGCAGTGCCGGCTATGAAGAGAAGGAGTACAAGCATTGTGTTGTGTGTTGCGCCGGCTGTGAAGAGGAAGAAGGACCATTGCCGGTTGTGCAGCACCAGCTGTGTCTCTGACATGCATGTGTTAATGGTGCCACTTGTTCAATGCATGCTGTTTGAGTGGCACTTGTCCAGATTTTGAAGTCTTTTGGTGCCACTTGGGTAGCCCACCCTCATGAGTACTACAGCCTCCTCTCTCAACTACACCACTCACTCTTCCCTCTTCTATTTTCTCTCTCTAAGGCAAAGGTTTGAAGAAGTGACTATTGGAGGGCAGCCATTGTTAGGTGAGAGCTGTGAAAGGAAGATTTGAGAAGGCACTATTGTTGTTTAGGTAATTGGATCCATCGCCACTGTGTTGTAGTCATAAGGATGCATGGGAACTTATGCATGTGAAATGAGCAAGGAAAGTGTATGTGATCTAGAAAATTCTTATGCTTTGTTCACTGAAACTTGGGGTTTTTGTTTTATAATGAAAGTCGATGCTAAGAACGAATGTATGAATATTAGATTTTGTTATAAATGCATGTTATGTGTGTACATTGTAAGAGGATGGTTGTTATTATGTTATTCACCACGAAATGAAGGTCATGGAATGTGTTCTTGAGACATGTTATATGCCACTGTGAAATTTCAAAAATATGTGTGTTCTTAAAGGAGGCTTTTGAACAGTCAATTGGGGTCCGATTGACCTCAGATCATCGCCATTAGAAAGATGTTTGATTTTAGCAAGATGTTCGTTTTTTACCACTGTTGAAATTCTTTACAATAATGAACTTATGTTTCAAAGTGAGAAGGTATATCCTGTTGATTATTTTCTTGAATTTTCACTAATACCACTATGGTCACTGATTTTAACTAACCAAACGAAGTTCATTTTCAGCCAAACCATAAACCATTTGAAAGATATTTGAATGGGCTAAAATTTTCATGTAGAAAATATTTTGAAACTCTTCTTACATTGAAAGTTATATATCGTTTTATGAAGGTATGTTACTATGAACAGTATTGTAAACATTTAGAACTATTATCTTGTTTGGCATGAATCTTTGAACTAACAAATGGAGCCTAAATGCTTTCAAATTTACATTGTTAGAAAGATATATGTCTTGGCTTAAACTTTTATTTTGAAACCGTCACAATTTGCTTCATGGTTTAGGCATTATAGTGATTTGAAGCAGGGTATTTTTCTGTCCCCTGTACACCACAGGGTGCAGCTAGTACACCTTCAACTCTTTGAACCTTTTAGAGTCCAAACAAGGCCCAATTGTCTTCAAAACACCCCCATTTGAAGGATAGATGTGTTTAGTACAAAATTTGTTTTGGAACCGTCTTCAAACTCTAAATGGTCCAAAAGTTACGAGCATGATGGCAGAAAATTGAGCGGTACGGCTTGACTGAAATAATGTTACTGTTACTATGATACTGTTATTGTGGTACTGTTAAATGGTGATGTGCCACCACCAAAATGTGATATTGCTACTATTATGATAGGATACTGATGTTTTCATAATGTAACACATAATGTGATACTGTGCTGCTTATGTGATATGTGAATGGGTACCTACTGTGTGAATGATGGTACGGTGCTGCTTATGTTATATGTGAATGGGCACCTACTATGTGAATGATGGTGCTGGCAGCTGCCTGATGGGAAGGGCAACTACTGTGTGAATGATGGTGCTGGCAGCTGCGATCTTTCCTTAACTCCCCATGATAGGACGGGAGTCAGGATGTGAATATTTTGGAGGGTCGCACCCCCTGATCTATATGGGCACTACGCATTGGGTCACTCAATGGTAATGTAACGCTCTCTCACCAAAAGGGCATAAGGAGAGGGTCGCGTCTTGCAAGACCACTGCCTATCGCAAATCCCAAAGCACGTTGGGGATGTGTTTGTGTGTGAGGGAATTACGAAGTGGGGCACCCACTTGTCATTGTCCTCCCTTTTGAATGAGGGTAGAGGGTTTAAGCGGCAGGAAGGCTTAACCTAAGCAATAAAACTTCTACTTCGGGAGTAGGCTTTACTAGTTTTGCAACTGTGTTATGTTGCCCTACTGCATTGTTGATAGTGAAGTGATTTATGACTCATGTGCTACATATTAGACTACTCCATCATAACATTGTTAGAATATTGGAAAGCATATTGGAGGACTCCACTTGGTACTTTGTGAATATACATATATAACTATTGCATATTGTTATCATTGTTATACTAGTTGGAATGCAATGGTGTAGATCTACTTACTGGGCTGTTAGCTCATTCTATCCCATTTTCATAATTGTGGAGTGAAGAGTGTGGCATTTGTGTTAAAAGTGGGTGGCCGTTTGGGAATTGAAGCTCGAAGTTTAGAAGATGGAAAGCCGTCCTCCGAAGACTTTCATAGTATGTTTTGGTGGTCTTTGCAATATGATCTATATTTTATTTTGTGTATTTTTAAGGCAGATAGAAAATATTTTTTAAGTTCTTAATTGCACGAGCAGAAAGTTAGGCTGGGAACCTTTATGCTTGAAGGAGAGGCTGACTACTGGTGGAGCTCAGTAAAACAGTCACGGGAAGGGTCAGGAGTCGTGACTGCTTTGGAGAATTTTCTAGAAGTCTTTTATGAGAAATATTCCCCCGATTCTGTAAAGGAAAGGAAAGAGGTAGAATTCATAGAGTTGCAACAGGGGAATATGTCCGTTGAGCAATATGCAGCGAAGTTTGCTGAACTCTCCAGATATGAGGCACATATTATTAGTTCTGTAGTGGGAAAGGACTCGTAAATTTGAGAGGGGCTTTCACCCTGATATAAGGAGAAGGATTATCGCAGCAAACCTCAAGACCTTCTCCTTGCTGGTGAACCAGACCCTAAAGATGGAGAGAGATGATGACGACTTTTGGGCAAGAAGAGATGAAAGGTTGGGTGTCGCCTAGTCTAGGAGTTTTAAGAAGAAGGCACGACCACCTCCAAGGATAGAGTTGAAGGGGAGAAACAATCAAGGTGGTGTCAGGATCCCGGGGGTTGTTCCAAGTGATGTGAGGGGCAACCGACTCCCAGTCTGCCCTTACTATGTTTTGAGAAATCATACGGTGGCTGAATGCTTCAGAAAGACCAATACTTGCATTCGTGCGGTATATTAAGCCACCTAGTGAAAGACTGTCCCGTCAAGGGATCAGAGGATCGACCGAGGGCTCAAGGGCAGGTGTTCGCCCTGACCAAGCATGAGGCTAAGGTGTCAACCTTCGTGATTTGAGGTACACTTTCTGTATGTGGAAGTAAAAGTTTTAATTGATCCTGGATCTTCCCATTCATTTGTTGCACCGCACTTTGCATGTCACTTGGATGTTAAGTCTATACAACTTGTTGGACTTTGATAGTATCTACGCCTATGGGAGAGTCAATATAAACTGATTTAATGTACAAATAGTGTGGGGTTGTGATTGAAGGGAATTTGTTCCCTATAGATTTGATACTCTTAAATATTCGAGACTTTGATATTATTTTGGGTATGGATTGGTTATCTACCCACTATGCCACAATGAACTCTTTTGATAAGATTGCAACTTTTAGATGCCTGGGTCCACCTGAACTATATTTTAAGGGCATTAAGGATGTATCTCCTTTACACATCATCTCAGCCCTTCAGACCTCTCGCCTGTTGACCAAAAGATCTGCTGGATACTTGGCTTATGTAGTAGAAAACTGGGGTGTTCAGTCTAAATTAGAAGAGATATCGGTAGTGAGAGAATATCCAGAGGTCTTCCTTGAAGAGTTAACTTCTCCACCCCTAGTTAGAGAGATTGAATTTTGAAATAGAGGTGGCCACTGGTACTACTCTTATTTCTAAAGCCCCATATAGGATGGTCCTAGCTGAGTTAACAGACCCAGTGTGTCACCATGGGGCGCACCGATTCTATTTATGAAGAAGAAAGACGGGTCTTTGAGGCTATGCATTGATTATAGATAGGTGAATTAGGTTACAGTAAAGAATAAATATCTGTTGCCTAGAATTGATGATTTATTTGATCAACTGCAAGGGACCCAGGTATTTTCTAAGATTGACCTCTGATCAGGGTACCACCTATTACGTGTTAAGGAAGAGGATATCTCCAGGACTGCATTCAGGACTCGTTATGGCCACTACGAGTTGTTAGTCATGCCTTTTGGATTAACAAATGCATCGGTTGTGTTTATGGATCTAATGAACATAGTCTTTAAGCCCTATCTGGATAACTTTGTAGTGGTATTTATCGATGATATTTTGGTATATTTAATGAATCAAACATATCACGAGCAACATTTAAGAGTGGTCGTCTAGACTCTAAGGATGGAGAAATTGTATGCTAAGCTCAATAAGAGTGAATTATATCTCCCAAGTGTGGCTTTCCTCAGACACATTATTTATAAAGAGGGGATTGTTGTTGATCCTTGTAGGATTGAGGTTGTGCTTAAATGGGAAAAACCAACGAATGTATCCGAAGTTCGCAATTTCTTAGGACTAGCAGGGTATTACATGCGTTTTGTGGAGGGGTTCTCGAAAATAGCACTTCCCCTAACCCGCATAACCCAAAAGGAAGTTAAGTTTGTATGGTCTGATAACTGCAAGAGAAGCTTTCAGGAATTAAAGAAGAGAATGACTACAGCTTTAGTACTGACCTTGCCTGAGGGGAATGAAGATTTTGTGGTTTAGACTGATGCCTCACACAAAGGGCTTGTACTAATGCAAAGGAGAAAGGTTATAGCCTTCGCCTCCAGGCAGTTAAAGCCGTACAAGCATAACTATCCCACTCATGATTTGGAATTGGCAGCTGTGGTTTTTACCCTAAAAATTTAGAGACATTATCTATATGGAACTCAGTTTAAATTGTTCACCAACCATAAGAGCCTCAAGTACTTATTATCTCAAAAAGAATTGAATAAGACAAAGAACATATATGGACTTGCTCAATGATTATGATTGTACCATCAACTACCACCCGGGTAACCTAATGATGTGGCAGATGCTTTAAGTAGGAAGCCTGTGGTGTCAATGGCTCACAAGATGGTCCGAGAGATGAAGTTACTAGAAGATGTAGTAGAATGGCACCCAACTCTGCCCCTTGATGATGACAAAGGAATTATTTCATGTATAAGAATATAGCCCCATCTCTTTCAACAAATCCAAGTACCGCAAAAGGAGGATCCTCAGTTCATGAAAGTTTTCAAGGAAATAAAGTCAGAGGGTAAGGAAGACTTTGTTTTGGGCAATGATGATATGTTAATATTTAAAGGTCGGGTTTGTATCCCTGGCAATCAGAAGGTAAAAAGGGCTATTTTAGGAGGAGCACACCACTCCCATTATACAGTACATCCAAGGAGCATGAAAATATATCAGGATCTAAAAAGAGTCTTTTGGTGGAATAACATGAAGAGGGAAGTAGCATAATTTGTTTCCAAGTGTTTGACTTGTCAGCAAGTTAAGGCTGAACATCAGAAACCTGTTGGACAGTTACAGCCCCTACCTATGCTAGAATGGAAGTGGGAGCACCTATCTATGGATTTCGTGTCTGGCCTACCGAGATCAAGTTTGGGACATGATAATATTTGGGTTATTGTGGACCAACTCACTAAAGCTGCTCATTTCTTGCCGATATGTAGTACTTATAACATGGATAAGTTGGCCCAATTATACACCAAGGAGATAGTAAGGTTGCATGGGGTGCCTGTTAGTATTGTGTCCGACAGAGACCCCATATTTACGTCACGGTTTTGGAACAGCCTACAGTCGGCTATGGGAACCAAACTCACTTTTAGTACAACTTTCCACCCTTAGACAAATGGACAGTTAGAAAGGACCATACAGACCTTGGAAGATATGTTGAGGGCTTATGTTTCAGATTTCAAGGGAAACTAGGATAATCATCTGCCTCTGATAGATTTGCTTATAATAATAGTTTTCAGGCCAGTATCTAGATGGCACCTTTTGAGGCATTATATGGGAGGAAGTGCAGATCGCCTATATGTTAAGACGGGGTTAGTGAAAGAAAACTTTTAGGGTCATAGATTGTTTTAGTAACCTCATAAAAGATTGCCTTAATTCGAGAGTGGCTCAAGACAGCCCAAAGCTGGCAGAAGAGTTATGCCGACAATCGGAGACGGAACCTTGAATTTGAAGTGGGTGATTGAGTTTTTTTTTAAAGTATCACCCACTAAGGGCATAATGAGATTTGACAAGAAGGGGAAACTGGGTCCATGATTTATTGGACCCTTTGAGATTTTAGAAAGAACTGTAGGTGTGGCATATCGATTGGACCTACCGCCCGAGTTAGCCAATATCCATAATGTGTTTCATGTGTCGTTATTAAAAAAGTATCAACCCGATCCATCCCACATTTTGGAATTTGAGCCAATCCCAATCAGGGAGGATTTCACCTATATAGAACAGCCTATTGAGATACTGGATTGGAGAATTCAGATTTTGCATCACAAAGAGATTCCTTTAGTGCAAGTTTTATGGCAACATCACTCGAGGGAAGAATCAACGTGGCAGCGAGAAGATGAAATCCGGGCCTTGTACCCCCATTTATTCGAATAACGATTTTGAGGACAAAATCTTTTTAAGGGGGGGATGATGTGATGACCCAGACTTTTCCCGGCCAGTTAGCGTGCATGACAGGATAAAGAAGGAAGAAGTATTAGCAATGGCTATGTTGTGTGTAGCACCGACTATGAAGAGGAATAAGTACCAGCACCGGTTGTGTTGTGTGCAGCGCTGGCTATGAAGAGGAAGAAGTACCAGTACCGGTTGTGTTGTGTGCAGTGCCAATTGTGAAGAGGAATAAGTACCGGTACCGACTGTGTTGTGTGCAGCTCCAACTGTGATGAGGAAGAAGTAACAGCACCGGCTGAGTTTTGTGCAGCGCCGACTGTGTAGAGGAAGGAGTAGCAGTGCCGGCTATGTTGTGTGCCGCGCCGACTGTGTTGTGTGTCGCACCGGTGGTGTCTCTGACATGCATGTGTTAATGATGCCACTTATTCAGTGCATGCTATTTGAGTGCCACTTGTCCAGATTTTGAAGTCTTTTGGCATCACTTAGGAAGCCACCCCTCCCTCATGAGTACTTAAGCGTCCTCTCTCACCTACGCCACTCACTCTTCCCTCATCTCTTTTCCCTCTCTAAGGCAAAGGTTCGAAGAAGTGACTATTCGAGGGCAACCAATGTTGGGAGAGAGTTGTGAAACGAAGATTAGAGAAGGCACCATTAATGTTTAGATAAGTGGATCCATCGCCATTACACTGTAGTCATTAGGATGCATGAGAATTTATGCATGTGAAATGAGCAAGGAAAGTGTATGTGATGTAGAAAATCCTTATGCCTTGTTCACTAAAACTTGGGGTTTTTGTTTTATAATGAAAGTGGATGCTAAGAGTGAATGTATGAGTATTAAATTTTGTTATAAATGCATGTTATGTGTGTACATTTGTAAAAGGATGGTTGTTATTATGTTATTCACCACGAAATGAAGGTCATGGAATGTGTTCTTGAGACATGTTATATGCCACTGTGAAATTTCAGAAATATGTGTGTTCTTAAAAGAGGCTTTTGAATAGCCAATTGGGGCCCGATTGACCTCAAATCATCGCCATTGGAAAGATGTTTGAGTCTAGCAAGATGTTCGTTTTTTACCACTGTTGAAATTATTTACAATAATGAACTTATGTTTCAAAGTGGGAAGGTATATCACTGTTGATTGTTTTCCTGGATTTTCACTAATACCACTATGGTCACTGATTTTAACTAACCAAACATAGTTCATTTTTGGCCAAACCATAAGCCATTGTAAAGATATTTGAATGGTCTAAAATTTTCATGTAGAAACTATTTTGAAACTCTTCTTATATTGAAATTTATATATCGTTTTATGAAGGTATGTCACCATGAATAGTATTGATAAAATTCAGAACTATTATCTTGTTTGGCACGAATCTTTAAACCACCAAATGGAGCCCAAATGCTTTCAAATTTTCCTTGTTAGAAAGACATATGTCTTGGCTTAAACTTTTATTTTGAAACCGTTACAATTTGCTTCATGGTTTAGGCGTTATAGTGATTTGAAGCAGGGTATTTTGCCGTCCCCTGTGCACCACAGGGTGCAGCTAGTAAACCCTCAACTCTTTGAAACTTTAAGAGTTCAAACAGGGCCCAATTGTCTTCAAAGCCACCCCCATTTGAAGGATAGATGTGTTTAGTACAAAATTTGTTTTGGAACCGTCTTCAAACTCTAAACGGTCCAAAAGTTATGACCTTAATGGTGAGAGCATGTCATTGCCCTTGATCGAAGGAAATTGAGTGGTAAGGCTTAACTGAAATATGGTACTGTTATTGTGATACTGTTAAAAGGTGATGTGCCACCACCAAAATGTGATGTTGCTACTATCATGAGAGGATACTGATGCTGTCATAATGTGACACATAATGTGATACTATGCTGCTTTTGTGATATGTGAATGGGTACCTACTGTGTGAATGATGGTACCATGCTGCTTATGTGATATGTGAATGGGCACCTACTGTGTGAATGATGGTGCTGGCAGTTGCTTGATGGGAAGGGCACCGATTGTGTGAATGATGGTGCCAACAACTGCTTTGTTTCCCTAACTCCCCATGATAGAATGGGAGTCAGGATGTAAATATTTGGGAGGGTCACGCCCCACGATCTATATGGGTACTACACATTGGGTCACGCAATGGTAGTGTAACGCTTTCTCACAAGAACGACATAAGGAGAGGGTCGCGTCTTGCAAGGCCACTACCTGTCGCAAACCCCAAAGCACGCTGGGGATGGGTGTGTGTGAGGGAATTACGAAGTGGGGTACCCACTTGTCATTGTCCTCCCCCTGAATGAGGGTGGAGGTCTTAAGCAGCAGGATTGGCTTAACCTGAGCAATAGAATTTCTGCTTCAGGAGTAGGCTTTACTAGTTCTTCAACTGTGTTATGTTGCCCTATTGCATTGTTGATATTGAAGTGATTTAGACTACTCCATCATAACATTGTTAGAATATTGGAAAGCATATTGGAGGACTCCACTTGGTTCTTTGTGAATATGCATATGTATACTGCATATTGTTATCATTATTATACTAGTTGGAATGCAGTGGTGTCGATCTGCTTACTGGGTAGTTGGCTCATTCCATCCCATTTTCATAACTGTAGAGTGAAGAGTGTGGCATTCGTGCTAATAGTGGGTGGACGTTTGCGGGTTGAAGCTCAAAGTTTTGAGGTTGGAAAGCCGTCCTTCGAAGACTTTCATAATATGGTTTGGTGGTCTCAGCAATATGATGTATATTTTATTTTCTGTATTTTTGGGCTAGTAGTGCCTTGAAGGAATTGTAAAGACTTTTGATATTGAATGAATGAGATGGCTGTACTTTTGATTCAATATTTGTCGATTGAATGGATTTATTCTAGCTTTCTTTCATGGTTTTCTCTTGATTCCATGTTTTACGTGTTGAGCCACTCCCACCTGAGTGACGTTCACGTCCTCCGGTCGCGATCCCGCGTTTTGTCGCCCTTCGATAAGGGTCAGGGGGCGGGGTCGTGACAACTCACCTCGTGTGGGTCCATGACGCGCTCAGGCTAACTAGCGTGGGGACCCTCTTAGATCACGTTGGAATTCCGCCTGGCCTGTGGCGGGTTCGGAATCGCCTCA